TGTGTGTGTGTATGTGTGTGTGTGTGTGTCACCCCACTGGGACGGTTAGCAGATAGCATGTATCAAACGTCTGGGTAGGCTGGGGTTCAGTACATCCAACGAGTTCAAAGAAACCCTCTCACCAGTTGTAACGTTATAATATGAAGGCTCCTGATTTCCTGTAGCCGGCTATAGTAATTATTATTATAGTGCCGTCAACAAATTCCTGGCGCAACCTATTGTCAAATATTTCCTAAACTATCGAACATAGACTCTCTAGCTTTTGCACACTGACTTGTATCAATTTGTTTTAACAGATCAATATTTTTGTAAACACATGTTTGCTGTATTCTAGAAAATTCCTTAATAAATATTAATAAAAAATCAAAGTGGGTGGTTAAAATTTCTACAGATTTTTAACGGTTTACAGTTGCGGCAATATATATCTTTTAAAAGCAAGCCCGTCATTTTTTTTCTAATCGCCACATTATGCTTATTGAACGCATGTTTTGAGAATCTTTAGTGCAAACAAATGTGTTCACTATAAATTTATTTCTTGCCACTAAAAAGTGTAATATGTTTCTTTTACGTAGGCCAGATGCGTATACAAAATGTGCGAAAGAAGCACAAATTGACAAATTGCTGTGAACAATTCTGTTTTCCGTATGACGGAGACTTATAGATCTAGTCTAGATCTAATATTTTATATAGATCTATGAAATGTAAAAAAAATAATTAAAATCTAGCTTCAATTGTTATGGAAAAATAAGGTTAAGTTGAGACAAATTGATAGAAACTGCTGTGCAAAGTATGTTGACATTGGTTCCCCCGTTAGAGAGATTTGAGGATGAGCTGCGCCTGGAATTTTCGACCGCACTGTTTTATAGTAAGCTAAAGCGAAGCACCAATGACGCAGCCCCAATGACATGGCGCCGGCGCTCAATAATGTGCTATTTTTAGCAGGCCTATTCTTGGAAACTTTCGCATGAACGAGAAACTATAAATAGCGGCACGTCCTAATGCTTGGCAGAAACAGAGAGAGGCATAGCAGAGCACAGCTGGTCACCGGGGACTACATCAACACACAACACATACGGCGTGCCTCGTTCATTTGACGGGAGGAAGGAATTTATTATACATTATAAGGTAACTGTGCCTCTATTCTTTTCACCTTTCTTCTGCTGCAGTAAGCGGAAGCTGTTAGCGAATGTAATATAATATATTATAATATAGTCTGTATTATGCGTGCGTCTACAGTTCTTCTGTTGCAGTAAGCAGAAGTTGTGAGCGAATGTAATATTATGTGAGATCAGGCTCTCGTCAATTTTGGGCATGTAGAGTTATTGGTATCATCTTAAAGCTTGTTCACTTGCCTTTATTTGGATGAAAAAAATATCGATTTATTTTGAATACAAGTCGAGATATTTGCGAATGAAGGACGTGGGGGTCACCTGTTTTCAGATGTAAAATTTGTGAAAAAAATGGTCGCAAAAGATTAGCTAATTCTTAAGTTTAAGAGTCCGTGGTAACTGAACATTTTTATTTTTTTTTACCTTTAATCAACGTTTTTCAGCAAAATCCATACAGAAAAGAGTTCTTTAATAGGCATGAAAGTTGTTGAGCCAAAAAAACAAAAATTTAATAAATATTCACAAACCTGCGTAAAAATGCAAGTTATTTCTTCTTTTTGATTATTTTGACGAGAGCCTGATTCCACCACTCTGACCCACATATATTATACAGTCTATATTAAGCTTGTGTCTATCTTCTGCTACAGTAAGCTGAAGCTTTTAGTGAATGTAATATGTAACGATTGTGTCTATCTTCTGTTTATTTGGAAGGGGGGGGGGGTTGGTAAGTGTTTTACGGCGCTTGCAACTGCCTAAGGTCATATGAGCACGCGGGAGTAAACATTTTCAGTTGTTATCTTCAGTTGAAGTAAATTGAAGCTGTTATAGCGAATGTAAAGTATATTATACTAGTGTCTATCTTCTGTTGCAGAAAGTTGAGGCTGCATATAATATATACATATGTGTACAGGATGAGATAAGAGAAGGCTTTATTGATATCCACAAGGAGAAATTTGCTGAGGCACACACACACACACACACACACACACACACACACACACACACACACACACACACACAAACACACACACACACAGACACACATACGCACTTGAAAAGCGCAGACACCAAAATGCCGAAAACCCCCAAAGAACAACATAAGTTGTAATCCCATGTCATTTGAAGCACAGTGCAGCACTCTTCATGCTATAGATGTGTACAGGATGAGATAAGAGAACGCTTTATTGATATCCACAAGGAGACATTTGTTGAGACACACACACACACTCACACACACACACACAGACACACACACACACACACACACACACACACACATACGTGCATGCATACACACACTCACCCCCCTCTCT